TCCGTCATACTACTATGACCATGGGCTACAAGTGTGTCAAGTTTGAAATCAAAATTCGAAAGTCGGATTTTGCTCGAAATTCAAGCTCTATAGGCAAAAACTGACTAAAAATTCAGTATCTCAGCAATAAAGTACCATGGGCACAAACCAGTTTAGGGTATTTCACTACTCACTGAGATCTAGACGATAAAAGCGGTCTGAGCTCAAAAGAGATTTATAACCTCAAGAGGTTCCCTCGTAAGATAGTTTGTCCTTAAAAAATGGTGGTAGTTATGTCAGACTATCGTTGTAACGCGTATTTGTGAAAAAAGTGAGCACGCATAGATTAATTAAAATTTAGAATATAAAATCGATGAGAAAAAATGAGAATTATAGTCGTCTTACATCTCATAAATAGGTGTTCTGCTAAAAATCATCAAGTTATAACGCTTTACATTCTTTACATGGAATGGATTTAAAACAACTGTGTTTTATCTAATGGGTTTTATAGTCATATTTTTTTTTCGTCTAAGATAATCTGCGCCTTACCATTTAAGAATATATAATTGACCCCTATAAAACAGAGATGAGAAAAATAATTGCACTACTAATAAAATATCGGAGTGTATTTTATAAAAAGAATCGATGATAGAATATTACTAGGTAATCGTTTATAAAAAAACTTTCACAGTTTTCGTAGTGGATGAACGACTATTTCACTTAGGGGTTTCTTTTCTCCTCTAAGAGTTTGTACTTTCTAGTTTAAATAATACAACAAAAGCTACAAATATCTTACTCTCATATTACAATTAATAACGTAATACTCTTACCTCCGGATGTTGTTGAACTGGTATTAAAACTTTTTCTTGAAATATCTTTTTTTCTCCTAGCGGATCGGGTAATTCTATTTTTGGTCTTGTACTTAAATTGAACAAATTTACACGTACTTTATTTATTTCTAAATTAGAAAACAAAATGAATTAGTTTTAGAGAAAGAACATTCTTGTTTCTCCTAATCTGTTCTCACATTCTAAGAGAGTCTAAGAAGAATATTGATGACATGATTAATAGACTCATAAAAAAATATCTCACACTTTATTGTATGTACAAAGAAAAGTGCATAGAGACAGAGATGTGACCATCGATCAGCCTCATTTATGAACTTTACCCAACATTATGCGATAAACAGAAGTTGAAGAATTAAATAGGGTATCTATAGTCATGTAGCAAAATAATCTGAATTATCCACCTATTACCTTGATCAAGCAATCGCTCGATATGAATAAACATATTTGGCACTGCTGCTAATTGTCTTTTATCTTTTAATAATTGTGATAAATATTCTGGATTATCTGCTAATGACTGATCTGTTTGTGTAGCTGGCGGACTAGATAACGGTGACAGTCCAGGTGTTGATGATGTGTTATTATTGTTGATATACGTTGTTAATGTCACCGGTGATAATTGTTGAGGAGCGTTAGACATAAGCATTTTGTATTTTAAAAGTAAATTTACACCGGATCAAAAGTTTAGAATGAAGAAAATTTTTTATATATGACCATCACTTCAATATTCGAACAGTACAAGAGTATGAATGAATGAATGAATAATAATAATAAAAATCTCCTTAGATGAAAAAAATACAAGAACAAAGAGAGTGAGTGAATGAAAGAAAAAAAAATACGGGACGAAAATTAGAATACAAATAAACTATACATAGGTAAAACAGATTTTTTTTTCTTCTTTTTTGTTTACACATATACATGCATATACTCAAATTTATAAACCGTTAGTTTTGAGAAATTCATGATCATTTTAATTTGTTCTTTAGTGAGTCTTTGACACTAGAAAAACATCGATATTATCATTTGAACATGTCATTGTCTTCTCTATGTAACATTAGATTTTTAACGTTTTTGATCTCCAATCACTTGGCGTATGTTGTTTAGTCACAGTTTGATATTTTTCTTTTCTCTATCTTAACAAACAAGTACAGTATACATGCGCTCCTAAGATATACATATATCCACAATAGAAGTTCACGTTACGTTCACTTTTATTTTATTATTTTTTTTGACGAAAAACACCAAAAACGAGAAGCAAAAGGAAAAGAAAATTGTCTACTTATTGTCATACAGCTCGACTATAGATGCTAAGATGACTAGGACGCACAAAGAGATTCTTTTTGTTCGTTCAGGTGTATACATTCAGTATATATCGATGATTTTTCGTCAATTAAAGACTTATTGCATTATTTTCTTTCTCTCTACTTGTTTTTCGCTTCAATGGTTTTCATATGGTGAAAGGTAATGTCATTTCTTTCAACAGATTTTTTTGAAAAGAATAAAAAAAATAAAGAAAACGTTTACAATAAAACCTCTCTTATTTTTGGAATTTATTCTCTTTCTATACACATCAGTCACGAATATTTATTCTTTCCTTTTCATATATAGACTAAAATCAATACATTTGTCATGAATATTTTTATTTATGTCGCGATGATCACGAATCATACAATGCATCGAACACAACAATTCGAGGATTTGAAAAATCTTCTTCAGAGATGTTTCTATATGGAAAATACAAGAGTTCGACTAATATTAAACTATAAATTAAAAAAAAATTTGTTTTCAGAAACAAATAGAAATTTGAATTGTCCGCGTTCTCTATAAGGTTATCTTTTTATCCAATAATCCAGGAGACATACGTATAGTTTTTAGAAGAAAAGCACACTTTCGAAAGCAGTTAAAAACAAATTGGGATACTTTAAATACGAGAGTTTAATTTATTTTCCATAATAGGAATCTTATGTATTTCTTACAAAATTCTACGGTAAGATCTTGTGTAGGATTTTGTACAATTCCTATTTTTTCATTCTATGTATCCGTTTCTTTTTCTACACAAGAACATCGACGGATTTGCAGTAATTCGAATATAAATACGATTCTACTGTAAAAAATGAAAAATTCTTTCAAAAAAACAAAAATTTACTCCTAAGATAGAAAATTCTCATCTCATACGGTCTCAGTTAATTCCGTCTATTAGTTAAATCAATTACGCACAGATGTTCATTATATATTCTAGTACCATTATTAGATGCGTACGTATTTTTTATATAGCATCTGACACAACCGTTCATACGCTTCAATTAATTGGTATCATTTCTCTTTGTGAGATATCCGAAAACCTTCCAACAAGATGCTTTCAAACCTTTTGTGCCATTTTCGATAATTGAGATCTGTTATTTTTCTAGGATGATAAGACTACACTGTCAAAAAAACATGTGTTGATAAACCACACTGTCGGCTTCAAAATGCATCCACGGCGCGTGATGTGCATTTTCACATCTTTTTTACTGTTAATCGTCGTGATGCCTTGACAAAACACCTCTAAATCACTACTGTTTTTTGATAAAAATACTTTAAGTGCTTTCAACAGACATCGCTAAAGCATCAGAAAGTCACATGGTACTAGCTGCGGCTAAGACAGTTCGTCACCCATCAGCCATGGATAAATCATGTGGTTGCATTCAAGATACCGGGAATGCAGCAAGAATCTTGTTAGACACAAAGTCATTGTGGTACCTAGTCAAGACATCTTAGGCAAGAGAAACGAAGAGATAACATTTCCAGGAAAGCGCCTGATCTACATTGTTTCGTTGTCCGTTATACGGACTATTATACTCTTGAACAGACCATTTTTAATCTGTTCCTTGTTTACTGGAATATGTTAGACTCAAGTCTAGTTTGATTAATTCATGTGTTAGGTTTGAAAGGTATTATTTGTGCTTATCCGCACAAATTGCACTGGTGCTGATAACAGTTCAGTGGTGCAACTACAATCGGAAAGGATATTATAAATATATTATATTACAGATAGGCATAATTTTAGCATCCAACTAAATATCTACGATGTCTCACGAAGACACCATGGCTGCTTAAAACTAGAATCCAGGCACCTTCATAAGGCATCGTGACGCGTCTTTTACATGAAAATATCTTCTTATGGATCAACAATGAGGCTGTCTGGTAGACGTTTAAAATGGATTTATTTTTTAAAAATGTACCTCTTTTTTCAGTGTATGGGTGAGTAACGTTATATGAAATTTCTGCGACAGACATCACTCTCGCCTCAACCGCGCAAAAAATATTTTTGCCAGAATCCCCTGAGATAAATTTTTGTCTCATCCTATGTATAATTGAAACAATTTTCATCCTGTCTCGTTCCATTTCATGGATACTTTGAAAGTTTCATCGTTTTTATTTGTTCATTTCTGATAGCTTTAATGGTTCTTTTTTGTTGCAGAAGGCAACAACTTCAATTGTTCAAACGCGTGGCAAATGAATTGAAACACGAGCCTTTTTTTTCAAAATTTTTCGTCGTGCATAGCAAATACTAAAAGACAATTAAACTTCTGTCATTTTTACTGACAGTAACAACAACAAAACAGTGAAAATTTATTAACACTTTAACAAAAAGGAAAAAGGTTGTGTAGTTTATACACAAACATTCTTTTTACATAATCTTTTTTGCAGTTAAGAGAAATACGTTAGCCTACTTGTGTACGTATACATTTATTCAAGTATGTACTGTTGTGGACTTTGTCAGAAGAGACCAAAACGATCAGTTCAAAGTGGTATAGTCTCTCTGTTCATACAAAGAATTACTAGACTTAAAACCCTTTTTTCTATCTACAGGCGAAATTCGTCGTCAGCTAGAAGACGACGAAGAATCTGATATAAATGAAGAATCAGCGAATAGTTACACAGAACGTAGAGTGAAACTGAACAGAAAAGCATCAGCAGCACCACACAATGGTACTTTTGTGCTTGATATTGTTAAAAACTTCATATGTGTGATAACGTCTTTTTCATTTCTTTTTAGTGGCATGGGCTAAAAAAGGTAACTGAGCTCGAACGTCTTGAATATTCATCACAGATGTTAGCATCTCAATACGGAGAACATATTCTCTTGTAATCAAGGCTTGACATTGTACTATCATCGTTATTTATTTTGAATAATTATTTCAGGAAATTTAAGAAAGAATTTTCTATAATAATATTACTAATATTACAGTAAACTCGCAAGCATCCCTACTAATCTCTTGATTTCATTGCTTTGCGAAACAATGTGTTGACCTAATTTATTGGGATCAATAATAGAGATGTTGTAAAAAATATTTCGGAAGTTCTTAGGTTTATAGATCTTTTTTAGTTGAAATTCGTTTATCAACTCCAAATGCAGACTGACTTTGATAAAATGTGTAATTATTTTCATTCCTTTGTTAAGCCATAGTAGAAGACTTTTCTAGTCATCTTGATATTAGTCGTTTAACCGTGCCGAAGAAGGTGGAACATGTAAAACTTGGTCACACATTGTGTAGTAACGATGAACTGTTGATATTACAAGATGGTATTACAGCACTACAAGTGCAAGATCATACATTAGAACCACAACACGTTCATTGGAATCATGGTCTTATCCGAGATATCTGTTGGTCGTCCTTACGTCGAATATTCATATGTATATGTCAAAAACGTGTTCACAGTTTTGATCCGATGAATGTAGAATCCCAAATAAATACATTCTCTCACATTTTACCATATGAAGAAAAATACTCATTTTGGAGGTGTACATGCACACAATCGACACTTTTTATCTGTTACGCGGGACATGGAACAACCATCGATGAATATGATTTATCGTCCTCGCCTGTTAGATTAAAAAAGCAGTGGAACTCGCCCAGATCATGTCTGGAAACAGAAGGTATATGGTCCATTCGATGTGGTGAAGATCAAATCGGTTTAACAATAATGGATTCGATAACAGAAAAATGGCACCTAGAAGTTCGAACTCTCAAAATGGGCTTATTATGGCGCGTAGATCTCCCTGTAAGTTAATACTATTACTAAAGATTACACTTTCTATCTGTTTTTGCCATAATTCTAGATCACTGGTGGTGATTGTGAATTATCCTTAATGCTGAACGATGATTGGATTATTTTAAACAGTTATATTAACCGCTTATATCAGATATCAGATCGGAAACTAAGAATAGTTGTTCAATATGAACGCGACATAAAAAATGCCATTATGTTTACTGATAAGTTTCTTGTTATACGTACAAAAAGTACAATTGAGATTCATTAAATAAAAATTTCTGTTGAGCATTTGGTCATCCATCGTGGGATTCCCTAGAGAGAAAAATGTATTTGCAGTGAGTATATAGTTGAAAAATAAAAATATAAGATTTAACAGGTCTAAAACTATGAACAGACGAGTTTAATAAATTACGGAGTAGTCTCGTGGGTATAGTTATGCTCCATAGCCATCTACTACTTGAAAATGTTGCTTTTACTTGATAACATCGTGCAGAGAAGAGATAGAGACTTGCGTTTTTCATCTATGCATTACCAGGCATTGCACAGTGAACATTCAGTCAAAAAGTCTTTTGTCAGAGTTTTCAGAGAGCCCATACATGGATATATATGGGCTATGTAAGACAGTAAAAATTTTTGTCCCGGCTGTTTTGGATCATGGAGAAACCGTACTGCCAAAAGCTAGTGTGAAAATCTAGGAGCCTGGACGTAAACTTAACTTTTTATTGAAACTTCCAGATTTTAATACAAAATAATATAGAATATAAATTCAGACTTCTTCTGCTACAGACCAGCTAAATTACACGATTTAGAAAGTGTTATAAACGTTGTTGGACCATATATTTAGTCTTCCAAAACTGTCTTTTTACGTAAAATGTATTTTTTCTCCGTTCACAAACTTTTTTAAGAAAATTGAAGTCTCTCATTAATCTTTCAAAGACCAAAATCTCTGGTAAAAGCGCGATGAGTTTATACCTCTAACAGATAGTTTTCAGCCGTCACACTATGTTCTATGTAAGTTCAACATATTTATCTATTATCGTTCTCGTACTGAATATTTTTGTGAATTCTAGGCAAATAGGGCCCTATTTGTAGGTAATAGAAACAGGGCAACAGTGTTAAACTTATATTAACGGTGAAAAACAATTTTTGAATTACCTCTAGAATAAAAAAGGTTATTTAAAAGCACTTTGTTCATATTTGACAGCTGAACCATCAGCTACAAATTTTGTATCAAACGTTTCGAAAGTGTTGGTACAAATTTTCTGGTTTCTCTAACGTACGTAAATAGAAATGCCTTTTTGCGTGATACCTTCTGATTTGAATAAAAATCCAAAACAACTTAATTAAAGCTAAATTTTCAGAGCAGATTCGCCCGCCTGGAATGCACATAACGACATAAGAATCAATTCTATAGTTCCTCCATTTCTCGATGAAAATGAAAACAGTTGTGGCTCAAACGCAACGGCGTAACATTTGTTCCAGGCAAATGGTGAGCTCACCATAAGTCCATGGGGATAACAAAACATCCACAGTTAACTTGAAATTAAGCCACATCCTATATTTGGTTGTATCTGCAGTATATCGTAGCTATTTCAAAAGGCACAAAATTATCAACACTCTAGAAAAAATACGTCGTGTACAAAATTCTAAGGGTTTGCTAATGGATTTGGGAGACGTTACTAAACCCGTAAGAGTATCTGAATCGTTCTTAAAAACCTAAAACGTTTTGTAAAGGATTTATAAGTCTTTCTGAATCTTAAGGTTTTTTAAACTACGATTTAGCAAAACAATTAGAGTTTTTTTTGTAGATTGAAAGGTTTCGTGAAGCAGGTTAAAAACCCTGGGGGAATTTCTTTGTCTCGAAAAACTCAATAGAGTGTTTTTCTAAACCCGTGTGGTTTTTCATTCAACATTGCAGAGTTTTTAAGTTTACTAAACTCCGGGATTTAGCATCCAACATATTTGATCTAGGTATCTTGGGTCTAGAACATCCAATATATTTTTATCCAAAGAAAGCTCATAAGTTACGAATTAAGTCAACTTTGGAGTGTTAGTCAGTGGAACGAGCTCGATATTCTCTGTTCTTAAAACGTGTGAGCATATCTGCTCGCCGTCTAGAGCATCAAATGATAGTTAATAGTCCTCGCTTGCCTGTTCGAATGTATTCGGAAAATGGTTGCTAGCAGCTTGCAATATGTAATTTAACCTGTTTTTATGAGTTCTTTCATTGCTTAAGCCTATGTCTGAAGCTTTCTACTACTGCTAGTTGAGAAGAGCATGAGAACTCCGATAAGTGTGAAATCCTTATATTGTTTTTGACAATATGAATCTATCTTAGAATAGAAAAACTGCTATTACACAGATAGATAGATAGACGTAAGTCTATCGTTCAAGTCTATGTTGATCCGCGCTCTGCAAAGAATTTATTGACTTTCAACTGTAAATCTATCATTAAAACCTAATTTTTTCGTCAAATTTTCCTCAAATACGATACAAAATCATCTTATACTAGTGGTTATACAATAAGGATGGACGTAGACACCCCTTCGGGGGTAAATGCCG